TGTGTGTGTGTGTGTGTGTGTGTGTGTGTGTGTGTGTGTATTGTTCGGGGAGCAGATCATTTATTCAATGCTCTAGGGCATTAGGGATCCTTATCTGACTATGGTGCGCGTGGAAGACAATAATGTTCAGCACTGATGCACTCTGCACTACTTCAGTTCTTAATGCTGAGTTACAATATTGTGGGTCAAAGGGCCTCTGCAGAAACGTAAAGTCTGGGCTGACATTCCAGTGTAATCCTGAGGCAGAGATGTATGGTCAGAGATGAGATGTTTGAAAAAAAGCAGTCCCATCTATCCTCTCAAGTGGAGGCCGAAGATACCACAGCACAATTTCGAAGAACGGTGAGGGATCTTAACCTGGAGTCCTGGCCAATATTTATCTGCCAATCAACATTGCAAAAGCAGGTCACATCACTGCTTGTGGGAGCTTACTGTGCCCTGTTTCAAATGGCTCAATAATACGTATTTCATTGACTGTAACAAGCCATGCTGAGGTTCATACAAATGTGACTCCTTTCATTATGTATTTTCATTTATAAATATTCATTAACAACCTCACTAAGGGGTAGCGCTACAAACAATCGATCTCGACCTTAATTATATTTTTGCATTACCTTGTAAGATTGACACCCAAGTCTTCCCATCACAGATATAAAGGTCTTTATTGAAAACATCAAACCAGAGGCGGCTGGCTTCAGTCTTGGTGCAGGACGGGTGGCTCCCAATCGTCACCTTTACATCTGTTTCTGATTTCAACAACAGGAGGAGGTCAGCAACATTCACATTTACCAGAGATAAATCATTGAGCTAGACACTGTGGCTTCACCATCTCTGGGTCAAAATCCTGGAATTCACTCCCTAAAGGTATTGTGAGGTGTTCAAGAAGGCAGCTCACCATCTTAAGGGCAACTAGGGATGGCCAATAATTGCTGGCCAGCCAGTGACGCCCATATCCCCAAATGAATTTAAAAAAGACTGCAAAGAGTACCTTGTATTTTATTTTGTCCAATAGTCATTCTTCCCCATTGGTAACAACAACTTCCATTCAATAGTGTCTTTAACATACTAAATTGTCCCAAAGTGTTTCCAAGGGGAGTTCTGACTAAATGTGGCCATGAGTCACATAGAGAAATATCAGAACTAAAGCTTAGTCAGGGAAATATATTTTCAAGAAGCATGTTAGAGGCAAAAGAGATAGAGAAGCAGAGATGCTTTCAAATGTATTCTTTCTTGTCAACATCAAGGCCAGTGTTTACTGTCCATCTCTAATTGTACTTGTGAAGGTAATGATGAGGTGCTTTCTTGAACCAATGCAGTCTATACAGTGTATATAGGCATGCAAATTGCTATTATGGAGGCAGTTCAAGGTTTTTGACGCAGTGACACTGGAGGAACAGCAATATATTTCCAAGTGGCTTCAAGTCATCCAGGCTTGGAGGGGTCCTTGCAGTTGGTGATGCTACTAATACTTACTTCAATAGGACTATCCATTAACTACTCACGCTTAAATATATTAACACTATTTCAATCGCAAGAAAAGGAGAAACAGTGTCATAAACACACTGCTATATCAGTGCTAATCACTGCAGTGTGAAGACAGGACTTCACCTTCACTGGGACTGTTCATAGGGCAGTGTTTCCAATGCAAATTGACTAGAATCATTTGTAACAGATAAATTGGTTATGAGGAGGTCAGGAAAGTTTTTTCCTTCATATTGGTAATCTCACCACAAGTTCTAAATTTAGTTAGCCAGCTTCCTCAGTAATGGTGCTACTCTTGGTAATGTACAATATAATGCAACTACATCTGTTCCCACGTTCCCCTTGGTGCTTCTCCCAGGCAGTGTTACATGGAGTACGAGCCCATCAGTTGAGGAAGGGTGGAAAGTGATGATCAACAGGATGTTTCTTTACCTATATTTGACTTAATTGCACAAGACTTCATGAGAAATGATTGGCACTGGCCAGAAGATATGATTTAATGGATGTGACCATGTTGGACTGTTGTTTGACTAGTCTGTGAAACAGCTCTCCCAATTTTGGCAAATATTCCCAGGTATTTTGCAGAGTTGACAGAGCAGGGTGTACCTTTGTTGTATCCAGCACCTCGATCAAGGCCGGGAGCTTCATCTGGTTGTAATCTTCTAATGTTTTTTTTTGTAATAGTTTGATAGAACTGAGTGGCTTGCTAGGGCAGTTAAGAGTCAAACACATTGCTAAGACCACATAGGCCCAGTTGGGGTTTTAGGCCCATCCAATAGCTTCATGATTATGATCACGGACACCAGCTTTTAAAATCTGGACTTATTTAATTAAGTGAATTCAACTACAATAAATAGCCATGGATTCACATCCCTGGATTATTCACATTCACATGGGCACTATGCCACCATAATCATATTGGGGACTTTAGAGTTTAGCGGCTTAGCGAGCTGAAGGCATGGTGGCCAGTGATGGAAAAATTAAAACTGGGAAAGCACGAGAGACTAGAAGTAAAAGTGAACAGAGATCACCAATGACTGAAGAGATTGCTGATGATGGGGAGAGGCATGGTCCTGGAGGAATTTGCAAACAAGGATCGGAATTTTTAAATGGAGGTTTTTTTTCAGACTGGGAGCCAACTAGACATATCCACGGGGACAGAAATTGTGATGATTCATAACTCATCCTCAGTTATCCTGAAGGCAATGACTCACATTCTGTGGGTGTCCCCATTCTTCCAATTCCACACCCAGAATGACTTCTGTTCATTTCTAATGTCTAGGCAACAATTTATTTTGATATAACACCTTAACCATAATAATGTGTACATAAAATGTTATCAGAGTGGAGAAAGGGGAGCAGCAACTGGATCTTCACGGGGTGGGGGGGGGGATGCTTGAAAGAAATGAGAGAAAGCTTGGTAGAAGAGATTATCTTGAGAAGTCTTTTAAAGGTGAATGGACAATAGGAGGGGTTTAGGAAGACAGTTCCTGAGGAAAATCCTCAAGGTCCTACAAGAAAAATGGAGTGAAAAGCTACTACAGTTCAGCTACAGAGGGTTACAGGCATTGAGAAGGAGAATTTAAGGTTTGCATGTGCAGAGTCAGATCAGATGTGGAGGGATTGTAAGTGAGCACAGGAGTACTGAATTCTATGTTAAGGAGACCTGCAACTCAGAATGGGTCCACACTGTCTTATTCTCAAAGCGAGGCCTTCCCGCAAGGAGGAATGGCTGAAGTTATCTTGAGCAGTAACCTTAGCTGAACTTTCTCATTTCTTCACTCAGGCCACTTAGTTGCCCACAGCAATCTTAGTTAAATTCAGATCAGAGCCAGGACCAAACACAGGATCTTCCCTGCCTCTGTGTGTTGATACCAGACTTGAAGTAAGTGCTACAAGTGTGAGAAGTGGCATCTTTCAGATGGATTGGTAAAACCAAGATAGCATTTACCTTATCAGATGGTTATAAAAGATGCCGTGGCATTATTTTGAAGAACAGCACAGGAGACATCCCAAGCATCCTGGCCAATGTTTTAACATCACTATAAAACAGATTTCATGGTCACACTACTGTTAATGGGAACTTGTGTGCAAATTGGCTGGCATACTTCCTGCAATAATCTTCCTGTGTTATCTAAATGTAACACAAATTAAGTACATTTATTCTGTTTATTAGAAGATTGTCAGTGTGTTTATTTGAAGCTAAACTAATATATACAGAGTAGAGCTACCTACAGGCACAGCTTGCACCTTGAGTGTTACAGTGCAGAGAGCCGTTTGCGTGTGGTCATGTGACAACGTTCCAGTACTTGGCTTATTTGCGTGCTGAGTTCTTAAGGGGACATCACTCCAAAGGTGATGATACAACACTTCCTACGTCACAACAGTGACCACACTTCAATAGAAGTACCTCAATTGATTGCAAAGTACTGCAAGGCACTAGAGAAATCGTCCTTTCTCTCCCTGTAAAAGGTTGGATGAACTGAAAGCAGAACGGAAGGTTTACATTGGCAGGGTCCTAACAATAGGAGGTGTAAAACCTTCAGGCTTGTTCTGGAGACTCCATGAATTAAAGATTAGTCTCTAGAACGTTTGAAAGGTATTAAAAGTAGCTGAAATATTTTCCTTCTTTGTCATTGAGCATTTTTGATTACTCGTTATACAAATGGGTTGGGAGAGGACGATGCTGTTTGACTAACCATTAGGAATCAATTGGTGGCAATGAAGTCTTTAGATTTTCCAATTGGGTGGGAAAATGGAATACCTGGATGATGGACATGTTGGGTGATCAATTAGAGGAGGGTGTGATGAGGAGGTAGGAGGTCCTGTGATGAAATATCTAGGTATACCACCAGCCAATTGGCAACCTTATCTATGTGCTCCACCTCCCTGAAAATTAATGATTTACTCTGTAAGGTAAGTCAGGTTATAGCCCTGCAGCATACTGGCAATAATCTTCTGATGTCAGCTATATTCAACCAGCAGTTAAAACTCAAACTCAGGCATGCCGAGCATAAGTCTCAAATAATGTCCCTAAGAGATGTTAAGGGGAGAAGTAATGGAAAAGTTCAAAATTATGAGAGATTTTAGTAGAGAAGGTTGAGGGGGCCTGTTCCCACTCACGAGAGGATCAGTAACCAGATGATACATTTAAAAGATTGGAGAAAAAATGTTGAGGGAGATGAGAATATTTTTATGCAGTGCGTTGTTGTGATCTGGAATGTGATACCTGAAAGGGCAGAGTCAACAGTGACTTTCAAAAGGGAGCTGAGTATATAATTGAAAAGGAAAATGTGCAGGACTGTGGGGCAAGAGCAAGGAATGGGACCAATTGGACAGCTCTTTCAAATATCTGGTACCCCACAAAAAGATAAATGGTGTCCTTCATAATTGATAATTTTCATATTGATTAATAGTGAGCTCATTAAGTATTAATCATGTTATTCTCATATCTGTGTATAGTCAGGCCCTAGCAATCTTATAGGAGTACACTTATATAATAAACAAACAGTTTGGTTTTACTCATTGTTATAGTCATACAGAACAGAAACAGACCCTTTGGTCCAACTCGTCCATACTGACCAGATATCCTAAATTAACCTAGTCCCATTTGCCAGCATTTGGCACATATCCCTCTAAACCCTCCCTATTCACGCGTCCATCCAGGTTTTAAATGTTATAATTGTATCAGCCTCCACTATGTTCTGCAGCTCATTCCATACACGCACCACCTTCTGTGTAAAAAGTTGTCCCTTAGGTCGCTTTCATATCTTTCCCCTCTTACCTTAAACCTATGCCCTCTCATTTTTGACTCCCCTGGGAAAAAGACCTTATCTAACCATCCTATCCATGCCCCTCATGATTTTATAAACCTCTATATGGTCGCCCCTCAGCCTCCTATGCTCCCAGGAAAATAGCTCCAGCTTATTCAGCCTCTCCCTATAGCTCAAACCCTCCAACACTGGCAACATCTGTAAAAAATAAAATATTCCAAGACACTTCACAGAAGCATTATCAAACAAAATTTCGCTCAGATCGGATTAACCTCATGTACAGAACTGGGGACAAAAAATAGTCTTCAGTAAACCCCTGGTGCTTGGGTGGAAAGGGGCCTCTTTTTGGGACGTTTAGCCCCTGCCACTGGTCTGCATATTTCTTGACAAATTTGAGGATTGACCTGGAGTGCCCAGAATATCCTGTTCGTTGTCAGCCCGGGGGAGTATGTATGGGAGAGGCAGTGAAAGGGAGTCAAACACCATTAAGATAGCATTAGCACACCCGAAACTGCCTCTCCCAAATACTTGAGGCAGCTCCACCCAACGTCATCATAGCAAAATAAAAGCAAAATATTGTAGATGCTGGCAAGCTGAAATTAACACCTGAAATTCTGGAAATACTTAGCAGGTCTGACAGCATCGGTGGAGAGAGAAACTAAGTTAACAATTCGATCCTGTACAACTTCTCAGAATTGGCAAGTCTGAGGTTCTGAAGGGTCATGTCAACTCAAAACATTAATCCCACTTCTCTCTCCATTGATGCAGCCAGACCTGCTGAGTATTTCCAGAATTACCTGTTTTTCTATCATTATAGTAAAGTTTGTTTTCATGAGAACCATCAGTATGAAGATTCAGTTCTGATTTTGTAGCTGAATAGTGTATTTAGCTCCAATGCAATGCATAGACAGCCACGTCTTCAAGTCTGCCAACCACACCAAGTTGCAAGGCGTATTTCATGGGAGCAGAATGGTACAAAAGGGACAGCGGGCAAAATTGTGACAGATGGAGTTCTGTGGGGGAGATGTGGAGTCATGCAAAGAAAGATACATCAGAGTAGGGACGTTAGGAATTGGGGATAAACAGGGAGATTTAGGGAATCCAAATCACTGAAAACTAGTGGACAGGTATAAGTAGAAACTATCATGGGATGTTGGCTCTTATCTCAAGAGTTCTGAATTCAAAGAGATCTAAGTTTCAGCCACACAGTTTGTAGAACTGCATTAAGTCTGACAGCCACGCCTCAGCAAGGACTTATTGACCCTTTGGGGGTGCACTACATCCACCAGAATGATCGTAGGGCTAAAAGGGTTAAACCAGAATTAGAATTAGATTTGGCAGCATCTGTGAAGAAAAAAATCAAGAGTTAACGTTTCGGGTCCAGTCACTGATGGAGTTGGGGCGTCATGTTGAGGTTGTACAGGACGTTGGTGAGGCTTCTTCTGGAGTACTGTGTCCAAATCTGGTTGTCACATTACAGGAAGGATATTATTAAGCTGGAGAGGGTTCAGAAAAGATTTACTTGGATGTCGTCAGGAATGGAGGGTTTGAGTTGTAAGGAGAGGCTGGATAAGCTGAGACTTCTTTCACTGGTGCTTGAGGGGTGACCTTATAGACGTTTATAAAATCATGAGGGGTATAGATAAGGTGTATTGCAGCTGTCTTTTCCTGACGGTGGGGGTTTTCAAGACTAGAGGGCAAATTTTTAACATGAGAGAAGTAAGATTTAAAAAAGACCTGGGGGCAACTTTTTTACAGAGAGGGTGGTTGGCATGTGGAATGAACTTTCAGGGGAAGTGGTGGATGCAGGTACAGTTACAACGTTCAAAAGGCATTTGGGTAAGTACATGAATAAGAAATGTTTGGAGGGATATGAAACAAGCACAGGCAGGTGGGACTTGTTGAGTTTGGGATTATGTTCGGCATCGACCGTTTGGACCGAAGGGTCCATTTCTGTGCTGTATGACTCCATGACTCTATAAGGCCCTAGGCTCTGGAATCCTTTCCCTACTTCTCTTTCCTCCTTTATGATGCTCCTCAAAACCCACCCAATTGATCAAGTTTTTGGTCATCCGATCTAGTATCTTCTTGAGTGACTCCATGACAGTGTTTTTGTTTGATGATGCTCCCTTGCACTTTTAGACTTTTCGCTCTGTTAAAGACTTATGTAAATGCAAACTGTCATTGTTTGTATACTGCTGCAGACAAATGTGATATAATACAAGAATTCAAGAACATAAGAAATAGGAGCAGGAGTAGACTATCTGGCTCCTCGAGCCTGCTCCGCCATTCAGTAAGATCATGGCTGATCTTTTTGTGGACTCAGCTCCACTTGCCCGCTCGCTCACCATAACTCTTAATTCCTTTACTGTTCAAAAATCTATCTTTGCCTTAAAAACATTGCCTCAACTATTTCACTGGGCAGGGAATTCCACAGATTGACAACCCTTTGGGTGAAGAAGTTCCTCCTCAACTCAGTCCTAAATCTCCACTCCCTTATTTTGAGGCTATGCCCATTAGCTCCAGTTTCACCTGCCAGTGGAAACAACCTCCCTGCTTCAATCTTATCTATTCGCCTCATAATTTTACGTGTTTCTATAAGAGCCCCCCTCATTCTTCTCAATTCCAATGAGTATAGTCCCAGGCTACTCAATCTCTCTTCATAAATCAATCCTGTCAAATCTGGATTCAGCCTAGTGAATCTCCTCCGCTCCCACTTAGTGCCAGTACATCCTTTCTCAAGTAAGGAGACCAAAATTGTACACCGTTCTCCAGGTGTATATACACAGAGAGAGAGATCACATGTGGACTACTGATGCTTTTTCCCAATATTGACCACAGGCAGATAACCTGCTCATGAAAAGCGAAAGTCATTTTCCGTAAGAGGGCAGAGCAAACAAATGGAAGAAGAGTTTTAAACATTTACCATCAAACCCTACTCATCTCGCTCCACATAGATGAGGAATCTGAGACGACCTGCTATCTTACCATACGGATGCTTCGCGATGTCAGTCTCCGATGGCTTGAGCGGAAGTTCCGTCAGGATCTTTGGGACTGAGAGAGCAGCTAATCTGGGATTGGGATTCGGGCAGATTCGTTGAGTAGCATCAGATCCCGGTAACAATACCAGCTGTCTCAGTAACCCCTGCAGTACAACAGAAGGAGCATAATTAAGATTTTTTAATTTTGCCTGTCCCTCTTCCCTCTCCTACTTGCCATTTTATTTATTCATTTATAGGATGAGGGTGTCACTGGCGAGGCAGCATTTATTGCCCATCCCTAATTGCCCAGAGGGCAGTTAAGAGTCAACCACATTGCTGTGGCTTTGGAGTTACATGTAGGCCAGACCAAGTAAGGATGGCAGTTTCCTTCCCTAAAGGACATTAGTGAACCAGATGGATTTTTCAACAAGTGACTCTAAGACTCCTAATTCCAGATTTTTTATTGAATTCAAATTCCATTATCTGCCGTGGTAGGATTTGAACCTAGGATCCCATCACATTACCACACTGGATTAACAGTCCAGCAATAGTACCACTCAGCCATCACCTCTTCTATCTTTTTCTACTGATTCTCCATTTGGTTTGGTGTACATTGCCCCTTGGATCAGGGAGCAGCTCGCCTTCCATGGTGACCTCCCCAAACTTTCATTGCACAGATAACAAGGACAAGCCTTTTCTTATTCGTTGTAGACCTTTCAGTGTCATTGGTAAATCTGGCATTTGTCGTCAATCCCTAATTTCCCTTAAGAAAGTGATGGTAAGCTGCCTTCTTTGTCAGATACTTTACAGACTTTTAAGCGAATTCTCGGATAGGCACATGGATGATAGTATAATGTAGGGTATGCAGGGTAGTTTGATCTTAGTAGCATAATAGGTTGGCACAACATCGTGCTGTACTGTTCTATGTTCTTGAGCCACTTCAGCATTTGGAGTATAAGAACACAGTGCTGTTAGAGAGAGAAACCCAGGAGTATGACGCAGCAACACTGGAGGTCCAGCAATATATTTCCAAGTCAGGATGGTGCATGTTTTGGAGGGGAACTTGCAGGGGCTGATGTTTCTGTGCATCTTGTGCTGTTGTCCTTCTAAATGGTGAAAGTCAATGAGTTGCAAGGTTCAAAGAATCCTCAGTGAGCTACTGCTCTGCATCAGTGCGTCTGTAGTGAAAGGAATGAAAGTTGAAGGTGGTGGATGCGATGCCAATCAACCAGACTGTGTTATCCTGGATGTTGTTGTGATTGGAATTGCACTCATCCAGACTCGTCCATCACACAGTAATCCATCACACTCCTACTCAAACACACTTGTGCTTTGTAAAGGCTTTGGGAGTCAAGACGTGAGGTACTTGCTGCAGAGTTCCCAACCAATTCAGGGTGGCACAATGGCTCAGTGGTTAGCACTGCTGCCTCACAGCACCAGGGACCTGGGTTCAATTCCAGCCTTGGGTAACCGTTTGTGTGGAGTTTGCACATTCTCCCTGTGTCTGCATAGGTTCCTCCCATAGGCCAAAGATGTGCAAGTTAGGTGGATTGGCCATGCTAAATTGCTCCATAGTGTGTAGACTAGCCATGGGAAATTCAGGGAAAGGAGAGTGTGGGTGGGATGCTTTTCAGAGAGTTGGTGTGGACTTACAGTGTTTCCACACTGTAGGGATGCTATGGTATCCCATTGACACTTTTTTAAGTCCTCAGACACTCCTGGAGAATGGAGCAGTGTTAATTCATGTCCAATACTAACTGGCTGTTTCTGAGGGTAGAACACTTTGGGATGTTGATCCTGTGAAAAGAAAGAGCCAGGTACCTCTCTCCAGAAAAGAGAAAGCTAAGAGCTGACCTCACTGCAATCTTTAAAATTATGCAAGGATGGCTGTCAAGAGGATATTTCTACTTGTGGGGGAAGTGGAAAACTGGGAGCCATCAAGAGAGGAATGTCACCAATAATCTAAGAAGAAAATGCCTTTGCCAGGAAAGTGGTGAGGTTTGGAACTTGCTACCATTTATAGATAGGATGGATATATTAAAAGGGAGCTCGATGAGTGCATGAGGGAGAAAGGAATAGAAGGCAATGTTGATAGGACATGATGCAAAGTCACCAATTTATCTGTCCAATAGACTGAGGTGAACAGAAAACATTGACCAGGTTTTTGTGTGGGGTTGGTACAGTGACTCAGTGGCTAGCACTGCTGTCTTACAGCAACAAATACCCAAGTTTGATTCCACGCTTGGGCAACTGTCAGTGTGGCGTTTACATATTCTCCCTGTGTCTGCATGGGTTTCTTCCCACAGTCCAGAGACGTGCAGGTTAGGTGGATTGGCCATGCTAAATTGTCCATAGTGTCCAGGGATATGCAGGCTAGAAAGGTTAGGCATGGGAAATGCAGGATTACATGAATCTGCCGTTGGGTCTGGGTGGGATGCTTTTCAAGGGTCAGTGTGGACTTGATGGGCCAAATGGCCTGCTTCCACACTGTAGGGATGCTATAAATCTATCATAAATGGGGCTTGTGTTGTGCACAGACACAGGCGTGGAGCATTTTGGCCAAATGGCCTGTTTCAGAGCCACAAAATTCTATGCTCACCTATTTTCGTCTCTGTCAACCTGTGTGATGATATGGAGAAACAGAATACCCAGCTTAATCTCCCTGATTGTCCTCAAAGAAGTGAAAATTGGGCAAGTTCTATAGAAGAATATCAGTCACATGATAAAGACAAAACATTTACCTCTTTAAGCCTGAACTGCAAATCCCATGGATCAAAAGCTTCAAAGCTCTTCCAGCATGTGCCTGCTATTTACTTTTGCACAGTCAGTAGACATATTGATGTTTAATATTTCTGGATTATCAGCAATCCACCCACACCCCTATCTTAAGTGTTCCCTCCCTCCACCACCAATGTACAGAAGTGGCATCCATCCACAGGATGCATTATAGCAATCCACTGAGCTATCTTCCAAACACATAGCCTCTACCACAATGAAGACAAGGGCAGCAGACATGTGGAAATGCCACCACCTGTAAGTTCTTCACCAAGCCACCCACCATCCTGATGTGGGACTATGGGCAGAATTTTCTGACTACAGTTAAGTTGTTCTGTTGAGACAGATTCATGGCACGCAGTCTGCCACAGTTTGGAGTGACTTTTCTCATGTGACTGTCTGCTCCTTAACTCATGAACTACGAAACCAGGCTCTTGGATACCCTTCTCGGGGAATCCCACAGCCAGAGAGGCAGAAGCACTTGCCACTGTTGGGCCATCACTGGTGCCATATTTAAAGCCCAGCCACTCAGCACTTCAGATTCTGCAAACCAGGCACTGGCCCTCACTCCATGTTGCTCTTCATGATTACTCAACACTTGGCTCAGAGGAAAGGAAAGCTCACTCCCCACTTCACAGACAAGGACCTGGAGGTCTTGGTGTACAGGCTGGTGGACAGGAGGTCAGTCCTTTTTCGAAAGCAAGTCATTTTCTGTGCTGTGCGATGTATGTGCGACCATCTTTTCTCTGCCACCTCACAGGGCTAGCTCTCCCTCAATCTCTGGCACGGTAAACGCCTGTTTAAAGGTTCATGGACAGCATTTCTCACTATTTCAGCTGCACATCCATTCAGTGGTTACCCTTCCTGCCCTCTGCACTTCCTACTCACTCACTGGGGGCACCTCACTACCTCTCCTGCATGACCACAAACTTCCACCATACTCAATCCCTCCCATCGCCATATGGCAGGAAAATGTGGCTCACCCCTCAAACCAATGTCTTAACAACATCCAGACAGTCCTACCTGTTATCTCTGGACAGTTTGCACAGCCTGTGGTACCATGGCCCAGTCACTAGACTGCAAGGGCACGGATTCCTGGATTCTGGAAAGGCTACATGCCTGACTAAAGGCAGCCAACCTCCTGTTGTGAGACTAGACAAGGTCCTTGACTGACGGTGATGGCACTCCCAACGAAAGGGAGTCCCACTTCACCCGATCTGAAGACTGCTCCCTATTAACGTTTACACACGGCCATTTGTGTGAAGCACATGCATTGTGTTGTGACATATGCTGCTGGATATATTGGAGGTGAGACATTGGCATAACACGGTGCCATACAGTGACATGTCCAGCCCTTTGACCGCTCAGTGCTCTGAACCATGATGAGTTGCCTGCTTCTCCTTCAGTGCTAAAAAGCAATGCAAAGCCATAGAGGTTGACAGCACCTTGCAGACCACCCTGTGCACTAAGAAAGCGATGTGACCCAGACAGGGATCGGCAGTCTGTAAGCCAGTGCTGACCTCAGTGACTGTGTGCTAAGAGAGCAATCTGAGATATACAAATGTAGGAAGCCTCCAAGTTTGCATGAAGTGAGTGAACCCAGCAAAAGCAAGCGAAGATTCATAAGATGCGTGCCGTGCAAATGCAAGTGTTCCTGCACACAAAGCAACCTAGCAGAAGCGTGCAAGTTGTAGATGTCCCTGAGTAGCAAAGTGCTGAAGATCTGAGGTGGTGTCTAGAGGTTGGTCTGAGAGCAGGACCACGGTGAGGTTGGTGGTCTTCCAGTGCTGACTTGGTGGATGAAGGGGTCAAGGAGGATGGTGGCCGGGGAAAACGCAGGGACCTTTGAGCAGAAGAAGCACTTACTCGATGGCCAGGACTGGCATTCAGTAAATTTCAGCCCCTCTGCTTTACCCACCTTGGTAAAGGAGAGGAGAAATGGACGTGATATATGAGTAAAATACAAATTGGGGTTTAAATGAGTTGCAAATGCATGGAAATAAGACGGCCACTGCTCAGTGACGAGATTCGGAATTTGACATTTATGGCTTGTAGGGAAAACTGGGAAAGTGGTTCTCGATGCCAAGAATCCGATCTTTTTATTCATACTGTATTTTCCGACCTTCACAATACTCATGCCACGCAGAGGAAAATTCTGCCCTATGCTGCTGTTCATTCCATGTCGTTGGGTTAAAATCTTGGAGCACCTTCCCTAATAGTATAGATGCATGCTTCGGGGACTGCGGCGGTTCAAGGAGGCCCCTCATCACCACCTTTTCAAGATCAGTTCACCACAGGGAAATAACACCTACATCTCGAAGATATTTTAAAACTCTAAACAACAGGCCAGGACTGGTACCAGCAAGTCTGGTATGGTAATTGGCAAGACATCAGATTGCAGGAAATTCTTAAATGCGCAGACTTCATAGAAAAAGGAAGCATGTCCAACTTTTTGGCTTTGCTGTAACATCCATAATTTTTTTTTGTTAATTATTGTTTTCATTTGGGAGACTGGGTTTCACAGTAAATCTTGTTTGTAGGAATCATTGTTTGGTAGATTTACTTGGCATGTAAAGTTTTATCTATAAAGTTGGGTCCAGTTGTCTCTGGGGCACCAGATCAAAGGCTGAAAGGTTTCCTTTATGACGCAGAGTGGCCAGAATCACCTTTGCTCCTGTTCAGAGCGGACAAGAAACTAGTCCTCGGCCTGAATTTAGTGAAAAATACTCAGGCAACGCAGAGGACGGCTTGATGTGAGAGCTGTATGGCCTACACTAACACAGAGGAACAGAGGTGCGCTCCAACATGGAGGAACCTTTTCAAAACTTTAATGAAGGAGAGATTCTTACAGTCAGACTGCCATTTTTGGGTGCTGGCAGGGAGTTGGTGCCCAGGAGAACCTCTCTACAGGGCAGCTCTTGCTCCCAAGCGGGGAGGGAGGGTCTAGGAACTTGGGACCTGGAAGCAGAAGTAGATCATTCAGCCCTTTGAACCTGCTCTGCCATTCGATGAGATCATGATTGTGGTTTCAACTCTACTTCCCTGTCAAACCCCTGCCATAATCCTTGGTTTCTTTGTCTACCAAAATTCTATCTCAACTCCGCCTTGAATAAATTTAAAGAACCAGCCTTCATCACTCAGAGGACAAAACCATGTTTTAAAAACAAAATCAGTAATACTTGGAAATGAACATATTGGATGCACTGGAGTTCTACTTTGAGATATACAAGATGAGTTGCACCAGTTTGTCATATTCACAAGTTTTACTGGATTTTCCTTCTGGGTAGCTGCTCTGGAAAGGATTCCACCCTCTGATGATCGTTTGAGAGAAAGATTTCTCTTCCTCCCAGTCTGAAAAGGGAGATGACTTATTTTTAAATTATGTTGTCTAAGCCTGCCCAGAGCACTAGGCCTCTCCTTGAGTCTGTCACTCAATGGCTACCTCCAAGGAGTCAAACTGCCCTCGACTGGTATAGAAAACTGGAGTCTAATCTGAAAATCCCACCCTATGTATTAGCACACAAAACAACATTCAAAATTATCCATTTAAAAATCATCATAAAGTTCTGCCACATTCCATGTGTTTGACTTACCCCAATACCTCAAAAAAAGGCAACCTCATTCACAACCTTAAGCAATTTATAGCCACGGTTAACAATATACTAAAATGCTTGGAAATCTGCAGTTTAAATCAATGTTTGAATTGTTTTAAACTGTGGCTTGTAAAACAGATCTTTCCAGTGTGACATTGTGTTTGTGAGGTGCCTGCTACATTGTCCTAGTCTCTGTCTCTGTCTCTCCCCCTCTCTCTACCTCTCTATCTCTCTTGTGATTTCTATCTTCTGAGAGGAGACTGAGATATCTTATCCAAATAACAGTCAGACTGAAAGACAGAAACTGTTGGAAATATACAACATTATTCAATATCTTTCCAATGCATTCCTTGAATGAAGTTGTAAGTTATAGCCCAAGACAGGACTCTGATTATTCTTTGTATCCCAGTATAGCATCTGTTTTTACTTCGGATTTCCAACATTCCTCTCCTTTGATTTTTGCAATTCCCAGTCAGAAAGGTTTCTCCACTTTGACTTTGATGAGTACAACTGCCCCATACACCTACTGAAAACAATCCTTTCCGCCTCCTCCTGCTCCCAATGTAGAATCGAGATTTGGCAGTGTTCAGCTGTTCAGGGAATAAAACATCCAGGAACCTGTGGAGAGCATAGTTCCGTTTTAGACACATGGTCAAATCTTAGCAATATCTTAGAAGATGAGTGGGAAAGAGAGATAGAGGAAAGGGGAAGAGAGAGGAATAGAGAGTGGGTGAAGGGAGGGAGAGAGAGAAAACAAGAGTGGAAAGGGGAGAGGGAGGGTGAGAGAGAGGAACAGAGAGAGAGAAGAGAGAGAGGATTGGAGAGAGAGAGAGACAGAGGAAAGGAGAGCAGTTGAGGAAGGGTAGAAAGGAGTGAGGGCGAGGAAGAATGAAAGAAAATTAGAGAGAGAGGAAGAAAGGAAATGAGAGAGGGTTAGAGAGGGGAAAGAGAGATAGAAAGAGTGCAGACATACAAAAGTAGCAATATCCCACAGAGCGAGCAGGTAGGCAATCTGAAGCACCATGCCGGAGGCATAATTAGTCATAGAGTCATACAGTACGGAAACAGACCCCTCAGTCCATGCTGAACAAAATCCCAAATTAAACTAGGTCCACTTGCCTGCTCCTGGCCCATACCCCTCCAAACATTTCTTATTCATGTACTTATCTAAGACCTTTTAAACATTGTAACTGTACCCGTAACTTTTTCTGGAAGTTCACTCCACACACGAGCCACTCTCTGTGTAAAAAAATTGCCCCTCATGTCTTTTTAAATCTGTCTCTTCTCACTTTAAAAAATGCCCACTAGTCTTGAAATCCCCCACCCTAGGAAAAAGACACCTGCCATTCACCTTATCTATACCCCTCATGATTTTATAAACATCTATAAGGTCACCCCTCAACCTCTATACTCTCCAGTGTAAAAAAAGAATGGCTGGCTCAGTTTGATCAGAAATCAGTATTAGGGAAGCAGGTTGAAGTCAGTTCAAATGTGTTGATTGAGAAAGATGTCTTGGATCCAAGGATAGCTCCAGCAGCCACTGACACAGATGTTCTGCAGCTCTCTAACTCAGAAAGTATCTTGGCCTTTCTCAAGTGAGACTGACTATGATGGCTAGACCGTGCTATTAGAATGAGTGGTGGTAGCTGACCAAAAGGTGTACTGTATGGAGACCCTGATAGTGCCAGGGGTTGGCCAAGGTTAGGATGCAATCGACAAATCATTTCTTGCCAGATTGACTTTAATTACTAGGAACAGTTTGCACGTGGGCAAAGAACTTGGCACTGAAGTCTCCACACTAAGCACGGAAATTTGAATTTACATTGTTATGATGCCTAAGAAAAACACCATCACAGGAAGGAGCACACAGCAGTAATTCCCGTATCAGCGATCCATGACCTAAAATGTCTCCACTCCAGCCGACAGTACTTCTTGAGAATTGGCCAACACATCTGCGTGAAGATTCTGAGCAATGGATGTGAAACATTGACGATGAAGTAAAGTAAAAGGGAAATCCTCTGTGATCAAGGGATGCCAAGTCCCAATCTGCAATGTATCTTCACGTAAAAGACATGCAGAGAAGGAGGTCACTTGCTCCACAATGCCCATGCCAGATCTTTGGGAGGGCTATCTCTTCACTGCCAGCCTCTTGCCCTTTACCCCGAAGCCCGGAAATATTTTCCCATTTCAAGCATATGTCCAAATCCCATATGAAAATAATTATCGAATCAGCTTCCACCAGGCTCTCAGGAAGGACATTCAGATCATAACAGCTCACTGCTCATCAAAACTCTGGTTTTTCTCTTAAATCTGTGCCCACTAGTTACCAATGCACCTACTACAAGATACAATAGCTCCTTATGTGCTCGAAAGAAACCTTTCATGATTTGAAAAAAGCCCATGCTTGTCCTTCTCAGCATCACGTGGAGTCACCCCAGCTTCAGTCTAAACAATTTAAACCTTTTAAATATTGATTCTGATTCTTCTGCTATGACCCTGGCATGTGATCGATAGAACATTCTACCAACCCTGATGCCAACTGTACCTCTGTTGGAAGGAGAGATTTTGTAAATTACTCACATGTCTATAGGTGGGCAACAGTCTATGGTGAGAGACACAATGTTGGCCGTTACAGCCAGCACCAGAGTGTGCCAGCGCCGATCAGCTAGGCGGAGGTCTCGAAAGGTGGCCCTCTTCCTGTGGCTGTAGGGGTGGTCACCGTGGGAGAACTCAAGGTGGAGCTTGTCAGACGAGACCCTCAACCCCAGCAGCATGTGGTTCGAACTCTCCTGGAGCAAAGTGAAGATGTATTCGTTTTTCTGGAAAGGAAATGGAATTTGCTCGATAAGCATGAAGAGCAGGCTAACCCCATATGGCCATTATGCACAGTCAATCCCAGCTACCTACTGGCCACCACATCACTGTACTTGCTGTAGCACAGAGGTCACCCCACTCGCTCTGAGTTCAAAGCTCATGGGATCAGGTCCCACTCCAAATATTTATACAACTGAAACAGGCCATTCAGACCAAAAAAGCCATGCTAGTGATAATGTTCCTCACGAGCCTCTTCCATCCTCACTTCATCTAACTATATCAACACATCACTCTATTCCTTTCTCCCTCATGCTTCCCTTTAAAGTATTCTGTGCTATTTGACCCAACTGCTCCTCATGGTAATGAACTGCCGTCTCACCACCCTCTGAGTGACAAGGTATCCCCTGAATTCCCTATTGGATTTATTAGTGACAAGCTTATATTGATGACCTTCAGTTCTACACTCTCCCATGAGTGAAAACATCTGCTCTACGTCTATGTTGTCAAAGAAAGGATTTTGTAGCTTGATAGATGCGTATGTGCCTCTGAGCCAGGACCCCTGGTTCAAATCCCACTCGAGAACCTGTTGACCATGGAAACAGTGTTCATCATGCAGTTCAATCAGTTGGTAGCAATTCCTATGTTTTTCTGCTATTCCCCAAAGTGGAAAGTATAGGTGAAGAGACCTGCAAACCCTTTCCTGACCTGAAAAACATGCATCCTCTTGGCTTTCTCTTCTCAACAGAGAAGAACTCCAGTCCGTTCAAACTTCCCTGATAGGTATGACCTTCCTGGCGTCATCCTGGTATCATCCTTGTAAATCTATTTTGCACCTTCCTTATAATTATTTTCATAATATCAAGATGGGACTAGAAATATTACAGCAATCTAAGTGTGGATCCAAGAACTAACCAAAGTCTACACAATGTACAGATTAGAGTCAAGAGTAGGCTATTCAGCCCCTTGAGTCTGCTTTTCCTTTCAATATGATCATGGCTACTCTGATGCATCCTCAACTCCACATTCCTACTTACCTCAAAATGACTCCCTTGTTAGTCAAAAAAATTAACTACCTTTGTTTTCAGTTCTATCTGACTCAAAATTGAACCAAAGTGCTTTCTGAATTTTTTTATTTAATCACTGTCTCTATTTTAAGCAACTTGTGTACCTCTTCCCTGAGATCTTCATCCCCATTTAGACGGTTAAATTCCAGGCAGTATATATTCTTCCATCAAAATGTAACATCACAGCTTTTGTTTACATACCACTTCACACTTAACTGGAGAAATTAACTTGCCAGTCATTGATTAAAAAAAAGAAACATAGAAAACAGGAGCATGAGTAGGCCACTGGACCCATCAAGCCCATTCACACGATTATGGTTGATCCCCTGTCTCAATTCCCACTCTTCTCCCCAAACCGCTTCGCTTCTAGAATCCATTTCTTTCTTAAGCACATTCAGTGACTTGACTTTCTTGACTTTATGTGGTAGAGAATTCCACAGGCTCATCACCCTCTGAGTGAAGAAATTTCTCCTTATCACAGTCTAAAATGCCCTACCATGTGTCTTGAGGCTGTGACCATTTGTTCTGGAGCCCAGAGTAGGGGAAACATTCATTTCAATGAGAACCTCGCACATTCTTCTTACTTTATAAATCAAATAACCATTCTGCAATTTATTAAATTATTCCTGCATTTTGCTGGAGGTCTCTTCTGCATTAACAATATCTCCCAATTGGTGTCATCAGCAAATTTTTGAAATTGTAACGCATAATTCATTCTACTCCTCCGCACAGTACTGAGCTGCAAGCTTTTGGATGAATCATTGAAGGGTGCCCTCATCTGGCCTTTCCAGTGTTTGTAAAAGATCCTTGGAATTTTGAAGAACAACACATGGTACGGTGGCTCAGTGGTTAGCACTGCTACCTAACAGCACCAGGGACCTGCGTTCAATTCCAGACTTGAACGTGTGTGGAATTTGTATGTTCTCCCTGTGTCTGTGTGGGTTTCCTCCGTGTGCTCTGGTTTCCTTCCACAATCCATAGATATGCAGATTAGGTAGATTGGCCATGGGAAATACAGGGATAGGGTGAGGACCTGGGTCTGGGTGGGATGCTGTTTGGAGGGTAAGTGCAGACTCAATGGGCCAAATGGCCTCTTTCTGCACTGTAGCAATTCTATGATTCTGAGGAGATTTCCCGAGTGTCCTGGCCAATATTTAGCTCTCAACCAACAACACTAAAACAAGGCAATTTGGCCATTCCTAAACGTTATTATTTGGCCCATCAGTTCACTACAAGACTAGGTCACTTGGTCCTTTCCACTGCCTGTTGCTCATAACTCTGCAGTTCCTGTTTCTTCACATAATTGGACAACTCCTTTCGAAAGCCATAATTAAATGTGCCTTCAACGTATTGTCAGGCAATGTATAACCACAAAATCATATAAACAAGATTCCTCTCACCATAAATCATTGTCTGCTGATTCTTGACCATTCCTCTAACTGGAGCAGTTTCGCCTTATCTACTCTGCCCAGCTCCCTCACAATATTGGATACTTGAGTTGAATCTCCTTGCAACCTTCACTTCTGTAAGGAGAGCGCTACCAGTTTTTCCAATCTATCCACATAACCCATAGCCCCCATTCTTGAAGAAATTCACACAATTTTTCTCTGTAATCCCCTTTAATGCCTTCACACCCTTCCTGAAGTGTGGTGTCCAAAATTGCACGCAGCACTCCAGTTGAGGCCAAACCAGTGTTTTATAAATGTCCACCATAATCTCTTTGCTTTCGTGTCTGCCTGTATTTATAAAGCCCAGGATCCCATATGGCTTTCTCAAACTGAACCTACTCCCTTGAACAATTTATGGCAAACATACCCCAGGTCACTCTTCTTCTGCACTCTTTAAATTTGTATCCTTTGCTTTACACTGCTTTTCCTTTTTCTTCCTGTGACAAAATAGAAAATATCTATTGCTTTTCTTCACATAGTTCGCAATACTTACAAGTTTATGCCATGTGCATATCTTAAAGTTCTACCTACACACCCAAGTGCAAATTAGGTATCCCATTTCCAAAAGTTCCCACACTTCGTTAGGGGTATTCCTACGTCATGAAAGGCAGTTTACAAATGCAAATCCCTTGTCTTTCTTCTACTGTTAACTCCCATTTTCTCTAAACACTCATTGTTTGAAGAATTAAATCATAGAATCCCTTCAGTGTGGAAACAGGCCCTTTAGCCCAACAAGTCCATACTGGACCTCAGACATCCCACCTAATCTACACATCCCTGAACACTACGGGCAATTTATCATGGCCAATCACCTAGCCTGCACATCTTTGGACAGTGGGAGGAAACCAGAGCACCCGAGGAAACCCATGCAGACACGGGGAGAATGTGCAAACTCCACACAGACAGTCGCCTGAGGCTGGAATTGAACCCGGGTCCCTGGTGCTATGAGGCAGCAGTGCTAACCACTGAGCCACCATGCCACCCCAAATTAATTTACATTGACTGTACAGATGGCCTCCATCATAATCTGGTAATCTCATTGATTAGTGAATTTTGCAGGTCTTATACACTTCTTTCAGGGTCAGCTAAATCCTTCCTATAGTCAGGATGCTACACAATACTTGACATGGAATTTTATTTTATAGTGACATAAGGTTTTCTCAACTTGGAACTTTGTATCTATTCTTCTCCTTTGCCTGATGTAGCCTAACATTCATAAATGCCTCCTGCCACTCAGGCACCAAAGGCAAGAGTCAAAACCACAAGCTCACCCAATTGGCTGCTGCCATTCAAAAAGGCAGTTCCCAAACCACCTCTCCAGGACAATTACAAGTGGGAAATAAACACTAGCCAAGCCAGTGTTGCCCACGTTCCCTGAGTGAGTAAAAGAAAGTGCGGAAATGGGATTTAAGAAAGCGAGACTTTACAACTGTTCACCAAAAGAACTAAAAGGACCCAGTTTACCCCTCCAAACCCAGGGCCTCTGAGCTTGGAGGTGCATCACCACCAGATATTCCATTTTGCAATGATGTTAGAAGCTGTAGCTCCAGTGATCACCAATCACATTGAGTGGAATCTTGGGTAAACAAGAAGAAAGAGTCTGGCATTTCTACAGCACCTTAGTACATCACAAGCTTTTTGCAACTAATTACTTGTTTTGAAGCACAGTCACAAGCCACATTGTGGACAGCAAGCTCCCACAGCAAGGTGATAATGATGTAATTTTTTGTTAGTTATGTTGGATGATAGAGAATTTTTGGCTCAGAGACTAGAGAGAACTCTCTGATTCTTCTTTGGTGTCATGCCTAGGTATGTCCTACACTCTGAAAGAGCAGGCAGAACTTTCAGTTGATGTGTGAACGAAAAGGCAGCTCTGACTGACCATGCAGCACCTCCGATGGGATGGGACTCAAGACATATGACCTTCTGACTCAGAAGTGAGTGCTATCACTGAGCTGTGAAATTCTTTATTCATTCACGGGATGAGGGCATCGCTGACCAGGTAGCATTTATTCCCCATCCCTAATTGCCCCGAGGACAGTTAAGGGTCAACCACTTTGCTGTGGGTCACATGTAAGCCAGACGAGGTAAGGATGGCAGTTTCCTTCCCTAGAGGGCATTAGTGAACCAGATGGGTTTTTCCCCCTGACAATTGACACCAGATTCATGGTAATCATTAGACTCTTAATTCCGGATAGTTTATTGAATTCAAATTCCACCATCTGCATGGCGGGATTCGAACCCGGGTCCCCAGAATATTATCTGGGTCTCTGGGTTAACAGTCCAGTAATGACACCACTAGGCCATTGCCTCCCTGTTGATACTCCCAAATGTCTCTTTAATGCCATCATTGTTGCATTCTTAAACAATACTGATTACCATCTCCTTTAATAAAAGACTAACAAGAACCATGGAAGTGTCACCACCAATGGAACTCATTAATACCCCATTAGTTATGGCCAATTTTGACAGTACCTTCAGTGGCAGGTAGTTCACTTTCAGCGTGATAACAATGGAGAATTCGGCTGGGAAGTAGCTACAGATCTTGAAGATGCGAGAGGCAGGGAAGCTAGCTGCTTTCACATTCTGACTGAGTCGCAGGCCACGGGCTCCATGCTCCTGAACCATCCTGACCCCATTCACTAGTGGCCAAGGCCCTTCAATAATTTCAGACAGGAGATCCTGTGGTCGCAAATCTGAAACAAGGCATTAGTGTTAACAACGGTAACAGCCATATAAGTCCAATACAGGCTACCTCACAAACACACCACTCTAACACGGAATAAACTGCAGATATTTTCTAACCAACCTGCTCTGAAATGTCATGACACACCACAGGGGAAGGTCCAGACTTGAACCCAGGCCTCCTGACTCAGAGAGAAGGATACAACCACTGCACTTTAAGAGCCCCACAATAAACCGTGTCCTACCCATAAAAAGCATCAAAACCTATTGAACAGCTGTGTTTAACTATATTTAAAATCCTCATTAATTGCTTGTAAAGTCCAAACATGGTGTCAGAGAGAATTACAATACTTTACTTGATTATACCGCAGCTAACAATCAGCAATATTCGGTTATTAAGCCGAATGCTGAATATTTAATTGTTTTTTTTTCCATTTCTCTTTTCAAGCATGGATGTTAAAACATTCAAAATTCATGGTCAGATTCTTTGCAGCATTCTGCAGTTACCAACAGCTTGAGATAATTGTGTTCATGTGGATAAAAAAGCAGAATTCAGTGCCTTTTATCCACTTCTCTGTCTCTCAATAAAGTTTCTCTTCTTGTAAGAAGCAACAAAAAAGACAGGAGACACTTTGGAAAAGAATAATGAGAAAATTTACATAACCAACTTTTCCCAGGTTTCTCTGTTGAAGTGGACTGGTCATCACCACAGCTTAATACAAAAAAAAAGTGCTCAGAAATACTTCAATTGGTGCTTTGAACCAGAGAGTAGATTGATTTCTCTGCCCCTTTAAACAGGGTTAGGGTGTTTCCACACATCTAATCTGTCATTGCCATGTGCTTTCTGGTATTACGATTTAACATTGCCATGTGCTTTCCGGTATTACTACTTAACATTCAGGCAGTTGGAAGCTTGCTTGTAGCATACGTTAAATGCAAGCTATCACCTTTTATTTCATTGAATTGATGTTCATTGCAGTTACAGCTCTGTCATTTTACTTCTGATTTTACCCAACTTGTTGACCCACTGAAATCCTGCTTTAGACTATGGTCTGTATTGGTATCCTTTCGTCGTCAAAAATGCCATTATAGGACACATTCGCTTGCTACAGGTACCAGACCCTCAGAAGGCATGGTAATTGTAGACTTTATATGCTGGTACATAATTATGCTTGGCAAAGTTTGATTCACTATTACCTTCTGGCTGATCAGGAGACACTCCTGTTTTTATCACCAGCTATAGTTGGACTGCAAGGATTTTCAGATTTAAAACAAAGTTGACCTGTTTGGCCATTTTCATGATCAGAATATCTCAACTTGAACATAGAAATACTGGCTCAGAGATAAGTGCACTGTCACTTCATCACAAATCTCCCAAATGACACATTACTGTTTTTGTTTTTCAGTGATGATCATTGTTTTCATAATAAATGGACATTAATTGTCTTTAACTGGCTTGGTCCTTTAAAGGTTTGTGGTCAATTTGACCAAAAGTCTGTGATAATCTATTGGAAACCTATAGAAGTGTCAACAGAAACTTCACAAATTCCTAACGAGTGAGACAACATTTCTGAGTTTATGTATCATGTTAATATTCCCCTTCTGTTATCTGTGGTTGAACTGAACTATTCAGAACATTGACATTCTATTTGAAGCTGAACTATGTTTCTGACCCCATATCCAGTCCTTCATTAAGACCAGTCACATCTATCTCTGTAGGTTGCCCATCTTCACCCTGAAGTAAATCGTCTGCTGCTGAAACCTCACCCCACCTTTGTTCCTTTGAACTTTACTGGTCAAAAGGGTCTCCCGACCAAGGTTTGCCTTCTGTAAACTTGAGTTAATCCACACCTTTGTCACTCCTAACTTGTAGCAAATCCTGCTCACCCATCAGTCCAGTTATTGTTGAGTTACTCTGGCTCCATTGTAAAATTCTCATCCTTGTGATCAAATCTCTCAATAGCCTCTTTCTTTAACTTCCTCCAGCACCTACAACCCTCCAAGATCTCTTCACTCCATAAATTCCAGCTTCTTGACCATCCCCAAGTTTTCAGTAGCTCCACTATTAGCAGATGTTCCTTCAGTTGTCTAGGCCGTATGTTTTGGAATTCCTTTTCTAAACCTTTCTGCATTTCTGCTTCTCTCAAAGATGCCTATTTTAAAAATAACCTCTCTGATAAAGCTTATGGCAATCCATTCTAATAATTCAATGACAAAATCAGAAAGTGACGGAAAATCTCAGCAGGTCTGAAAGCATCTATGCTTTCAGAAAGCAGAGTTAACAGTTTGGATCCAGTGACCTCCCTTCAGAACAGAACTAATACTTTGGTGTCAAATTTTATCTTCTAATGTTCCCATGAAACTGATTGAAATGTCTCATATGCTCTGCAAGTTGTTGTTATTTCTGCATTTTTACTGGTATAATCCTTTATACATAGTCTTATAGGAAGCGAAGCAGTTTGCCTGAAGACTGTTCATGGAACAGACAGGAATCATACACCTTCAGCCAATGCAAGTCATTTACTTTTACACATTTAAAATAATCTCCTGTTCCTTGAGTTAGCAGTGGTCATCTTCAGGTTAAGGATAGTGAAAAAAAACCTCTTGATATAGCACAACTCAAACAGTAATCTTTATATTGATTCAATAATTAAACATTAGATTTTATTTCCATTTTCAATCTGACCCTAAATTTTGACATTCTTCATTCCCTTATTGTTATGCTGGATTATTTACCTATTTCATTAGTCTGTCTCTAAAATATATTTGTTTTTCACTTCCTTCCTTCATTGCACTCTGCATAATCCTCAATCGATTGATATTTATTCACACACAGTTACTCCTTTAAATATGTTCTTTTCTCCGACAGTATGTCAAGTTCTAATTCTTGCCTCGCCTGATTAATCCAATGTATCCTCAAGCCTACAAACTATCCCTTTGTTTTCCCCTTTTTTCATCCTATGTTGTTGGAGAGCATCTTTAATCTCCACAAACCCTTTCTCACATTTCCAATAATGGCTTACAATTAGATCCCGTTTAATGCAGAAATAAACTGTGACAGGTTGCTTCAGGGAAGTACGTGGCTGACAGATTGTCCTATTTGCTCCTCTCACGCTGTTTATTATTGCATTCGTTGCTGTCCCTCACTGTTCATTGCCCTGCTCACGGCTCTCACTGAAGCTGTCACATTCTAACTTGTTGCACTGCGCATTTTCCCATGCTTACCCGCCACAGTGAGCCCTCCTCACCCACTGCACTGTATATTATCTGTTCTGAAGAAGGGTGACTGAACCCAAAACTCTGCCCTTTCTCCACAGATGCTGCCGTACCTGCTTGAGTTCATCCAGCTATTTCTGTTTCTACTTTTGTTTTGGCACTGTATATTATCCTACTAACCCCTACATATTGTCCCATTCTCATTTGTCGTAATGTACGTTGTCATATTCTACCTGTCACACGCTGCATATTATCTCAATCTCCCTTGTTGATCCATAACTTTCTCAGATTCCCTGGTGGCTCTATTTTCTCAATCTCCTTTGTCGCTCTGTATATATTCCCATTCTCACCGGTCACTGTACATTTCTCAGTTTCCCTCGCGGCCCCATACATTTCTCAGTCTCCTTTGTGGGTCTAATTTCACTCTCCCTCCTTTGTCACACGATTATATTCCCGTTCTCACCTGCCACTATACATTTCTCGTTCTCCCTTGCCGCTGTATTTGCTCCGTCTCCCCTGTCACTGTACACATTTCTCAGTCCTTTGTCGCTCTGCGTATCTTCCCGTTCTCAGCTGTCACTCTCGGTGTCCCTTGTCGCACTGTGTCTTGTCCCATTCTCTGCCGTCCCTCTGCGCATTTGTCCCTGTTTCTCTGCACGTTCTGACCTAGAGACCTCACCCAGCCTTACCTGTGCACGGACTGTATGATGATGTGACCAAACTGCAGTGGGATCCCAGGTGCAGGATTGCACAGAGCAGCAGGAGAGTAGACATTGGGACCACCGCAGTCACATCCCTAAACAGGAAGCTTCCTCCCGGACGCCCCGCGCCGTGCCACCATCTCCCTGAGCGGCTCCTGAGCGGTAGACAGAGCTGGACCCTGTCTCCTTCATCTCAGGAAGCCCTGTGGCACCCCGGGGCTGGCCGGGGTCGCGGGCAGGTCAGGCTGTTCCAGTGTCCCTGTGTGGATCCCAGCGAAAGAACACTCCAGTGTTTTGTGAATACCCGGTCCTCAGGAAATCTTCAGAGCTCTCTCAGGGGGAGGACAGGAGCAGGATCTCTGGTCTATTTGGAATCCCCTGTTATCTTGCCTTGGGAGAGCAGAGCTCCAGTCAAAACGGACTGAGATTCCTTTTCGCTCACCACGCAACAGTTCTGTGTGTGTGTCTGTGTGTGTGTGTGTGTAGAGAGAGAAAGACAGACCGAGAATATGAGACTCGCGTCTAGTCATCTCCTTTGCCCAGCCCCTTTAAACACACCGGTGATACCTGAGCTCTCGGAGGCCGCTAACTGGCAAAGAAAGAATACCCGCTCTCTGCAGCTTTCATCTAATTGCCAAGTCTGGGACGAGAAAGGTAGAGGAAATTCCGTCCCTCGTAGCACGGCAAAGTCCTGGCAAAACCAGCGTTTAGCAATAGGCAAGCCTTCCTGCTCCTCTGATGCTGCTTGGCCTGCTGTGTTCATCCAGCTCTACACCTTGTTATCTCAGATTCTCCAGCATCTGCAGTTCCTACTATCTCGGCCCCAAAATAAAAACGCTGCGCGCTCCTGTTTAGCTCCGACTCACCGAGTTTTACTCACAAGCAAACCTTCCGAGCAACCAAAGCGAAACGCTTCTCGAAACGTACGCGGAGAATGCTGGCGAAACTCAGCAGATCTTGTGGAGAGAGAGAGAGATGAACTCTGTGGAAACTGACTGAAAAGAAAACCAAAGAACTGCGGGTGGTAGAAGTCGGAAACAAACAGGAATTCATGGAGAAACTCAGCAAGTCTGGCTGGCTCTATGGACATATATGAACTAACTCTGTTAGTTCCTCTGTGTTTTTCTCTCTCTCTCTCTTTCTCCGCAGAAGGTGCCAGACTTGCTGAGTTTCTCCATGAATTTCTGTGTTTGTTTCAGATTTCGCAACAAGTTGCCCTTTACCCTCAAAAAAAGTGGCTATATCCCAGGAGAGGGCCATCAACAGAGCTGGTGGCTTTTTACCTTCACAGCGTCTTGGCTTCTTTCCAATTCTTTATTCAGTCTCCTTTTGCACCTTACCATTAAATTTGCCTCAATCACCCTTCCAGGCCATACATTCCAGAGCTTAACTGACTCTGTTCAGAATCATAGAATCCCTACAGTATGGAAACAGGCCATTCAGCCCATCGAGTCCACATCAACCCTCTGAAGAGCGTCCCACTCAGACCCACTCCCTGCTCTATCCCTGTAACCCTGCATTTCCCATGGCTAACCCACACAACCTGCACATCCCTGGCCACCATGGGGCAATTTAACATGGCTAATCCACTTAACGTGCACATCTTTGGACTGTGGGAGGAAACCAGAGCAGCCGGAAGAAACCCACACAGAGAAGGGGAGAATGTGCAAACTCCACACGGTCTATATTAGCTAGCAACTTTCCTTCATCGATTCCTCCCAACCATTTAGTGGTTTATAAATGATGTCTGTCTATCCTCTGCTTCTCTGCCCGTGGAACCAGTCTCTCTGTTACAAGGATGCTATGTTCTATTGCCCATACTGTGATTCATTAAAAAAAAACAGGTCGGTTGATGTCAGTTTCACTAATTCAAAGTAAAAAGAAAGACTGCCATTATACACCACCTTATCCCCCAACTTTGGGATGTCACAAGCCACTTTAAAGCCAATGACATACTTTTGAAATGTAGTTTGTCATGCAGAGTTCTGCACAGCAATGTCCCACTCCAAGGTGCTCTGATAATGAGAAAATAATCAGCTGTAGTGATCTTGGTTGAGGGATAAATGTAGGTCCAGAACACTGAGGAGAACTCCCCTGCTTTTCTCAGAAGCAACGTTGTGAGAGCTTTTATATCTACCTTGAAAGCACAGTCAAGGTTTCAGTCAGATGTATCATGCAGCTCCTACTGTGCGGCGCTCCATTAGTACTGTAGTGGAGTGTCAGCCTGGATCTACTTCCCTAACAAGAAGAGTGCTAGGTATCTGTGTGGATTCCATAGTTAGTTAAGATGTGGGGAGGGGCTGGGGGAGCCAGTTGGAGTTTGTATGGAGATAGTTGTTACCAGCAACAACAATGTGGATTTATATATACTCCCAATATATTGAGAAGGTGGGCAGTATTACAGTCACCATTGAATATGCAACATTTCATTAGGAAGGAATTTGCCTTGAGCCTGAGGGAATAGGTCATTAGGTGTTCTGTTTCTCCCACCACAGATGTTGCCTGACCTGCTGAGTTTCTCCAGCACTTGTTTGTGTTTGTTTTAGGTTAGTAGGTAGACTGGATTAGGAAAAGTCCTCCTAATGTGGTTATATGAGCAACTCTGAATTCCTGGATTTGCTTGCTTGCCTCATAAGAGCTGGAGACGGATTTGTCAGTAGATTTTGTTTCTGAAAATTGATGTATTGTCTTTTGAACCTTCTCCACTGTGGTTTTTGCCAATAGAGTACACTGACTGCCCAGATTAGCGGCTTTGATGAGATCATTTTGGCCACATTTACCACATTCCGTAGCAAAAAAAAGTCTTGTGCACAAAACAGATAAATGTGTTTCACTCGTATACTTACATAAAAATGTCATTCGGAACAAAATTCTCTTTCTCACCAAATCTTGTAATTCTGAGTTGAGGGTAATCAGATGTAGAACATTTGCTCAGATTCCAGGCCATAGAATTTTGATGCCTCCATTCATGTCAAAATGGTGGTAAGGGCCATTTGAAAATGGCTGGCAGGACCTGATTTTGGGATTCCCACCCTTATTCCTGTCGTGCGGGATGTTTATATTTCCCCAGGACGAGGGTGAGATAGAACGATCCCACGCTCAGCAATGCAGTCCTTGTTGAGACTATTTGCAGGGCTGAGCATTTCAAAACTGCCCCTGCACCACAAACTATTTTGATGGAGTTGTGCCTGTTTTGATAGAAGATGCGGACCACCGAGGAACCCCTGACCCAACTAGACAACTCCCCCCTCCACAAAAAAGTACCTGCTTCAGTAATTCTTTCCTTGGCTGGCTTTGAAATGCACAAGAAAATTTTTCATTGAATCATTGAATTGAATTAAATTGAATTGCATTAGTGTTATTGACACATGTACCAAATGAGTACAGTGAAAAGTTTATAAGTCACCACTTACTGTGCCATCTTACATACAAATGTACCTAGATACAAACCTCAGTTACAGAATAGAGAAATGAAAAAAGAAGTTACATTACAGCTGTACGCAGTGTGACCGTAGGTCGGAAAAAAACAAGCAGCAAAGCTAAATAGACAAACATCACAGTATCTCTCCAAAGGCCCTCTGCAGCAGACCAAAACAGGGGGCCTCCATGTGGTCTGACTGCTGGCTGCCACCATACTCCGCACCAGGCCACTATCCCCACTCCGCACTGGGACACTGTCCCCATTCCCACACCAGGCCACTACATCCGCTCCACACTGGGCCACTGACCCCATTCCTGCACCAGGCCACTATGTCTGCTGCACACTGGGCCACTGTTCCCATTCTCGCACCAGGCTACTATCCCTGCTCCGCACTGGGCCACCATCCCCGTTCCCGCACCAGGCCACTATCCCCGCTCCGCACTGGGCCACTATCCCCGCTCCGCACTAGGCCACTGTCCCCAGTCCCACACCAGGCCACTATCCCCGCTCCACACTGGGCCACTATCCCCGTTCCGCACTGGGCCACTATCCCTGCTCCGCACTAGGCCACTGTCCCAATTCCTGCACCAGGCCACTCTCCCCGCTCCACACTGGGCCACTATCCCCATTCCCACACCAGGCCAGTATCCCCGCTCCACACTGGGCCACTGTCCCCATTCCCACACCAGGCCACTATCCCCACTCCGCACTGGGCCACTGTCCCCATTCCCACACCAGGCCACTATCCCCATTCCGCACCGGGCCACTATCCCTGCTCCACACTGGGCCACTGTCCCCATTCCCACACCAGGCCACTATCCCCGCTCCGCACTGGGCCACTGGTCGCTGGTGCTCCCTTGGGGCCACTGGTCACTGATATCCATTCTTCGGGTCACTGGTCGCCAGTGTCCCTGTTTTGGAGACTGGAAGTCAGAAATCAGGGCTGGGTGTCCTAGACCACGAGAAGAGAGGAGAGAGGGAGAAAAAAAACAGAAGACAAAGAAGGCCATTAGGCCCATCAAGTCCACACCAAACCTCCAAAGAGCATCCTGTCCAGACCCACCACCCTACCCTTATGCCCGCATCTCCTATGGCTAATCAACCTAGCCTACACATCCCTGGACACTATGGGAAATTTAGCATGGCCAGTCCACCTAATCTGCACATCTTTGGGCTGTGGGAAGAAACTGGAGCACCTAGAGGAAACCCGCACAGACGCAAGGAGAATGTGCAAATTCCACACAAACAGACACATATTGAATCTGGTGGAACTGAACCCAGGTTCCTGACACTGTGAGGCAACAGTGCTAACCACTGAGCCACCATGTTGCCATAATCATTACAATTTTTAAAAAGTTCTGCCTCAGCAATTTACCACTCCGGCACCAAAGTAGAAAGAAAAGTTCTGAGCAGGAGGCACTTGATCCGAAACTTTAACTCTGATTTCTCCCCACAGATGCTGCCAGGCCTGCTGAGCTGCTCCAGCAATTTCTGTTTTTATTTCTGACTTCCGGCATCTGCAATTCTTTCGGTTTTTAGAAATTAAAACCTACCCTTTTATCAACTGTATTAAATAAGAGACTGCACAAGGTCGTGCATTTCTTGATAATAGATTCAGCAAAAGGATTTATTCCAATGAAATAGAATGGAAA